CGGCCATGCCCGCAGCGCTCTCCTGCACCCGGGAGGCTCCAGGCGCATCAGCAGCAAGGCCTCGGTGAGCCAAGGGGGACTCGGCGGCTCCAGGCGCGTTCCTTACATGACACGGAAGTCACGTAGGCCTTGGCTTCCCTTGACGCGCCAGGGCCGGGACTGGGACTCGTGACAAAGCGCAGCGGAGCTCGGTGGACAAGTCACTCGGCACACGCGTCGTAACTCTTCCCCATTAACACGGTTACTCCCGCTGGGTTAAAGTGAAGGGGCACTTAACTTGGCACGGCAGGCCGGAAAACAAGCTCCGGCACTTCATTTGAACAACTCAGCCAGTTTACGGTCACAAGTGTGCACGCCACCACACACGACTGGCTGACGTGCGCCCGCTCGGAAGTGCTGCCGGAGAGGGCCAGCGCTGGGGCCTGCAGCTGGCCAGTAGACGGACGAGGGGACGAAGGCAGGCGACGACGCGCAGCAGCCACGGGCTACAGCGGGGCGGGTCCTCGGCCCTCCCAGGGCTCCTCGCGCTCGCGGATCGGTCCCTGGTTCCGAATGAACCAGAGCGGAGGACGGCAGAGCCGGCAGGGCTGCACTGACAAAGCGGAACGCCCCCGCCCCGCGGGCTGAGCCCTCCCGACGACCTGGTCCACCGCGAGCCCCCTCCAGCCCCGCAAGCCCAGTGGACACGCAGCCACAGCGTGCCCTTCCCCTCGCGTCACCGTCTGACGTGGTGCGGGGTGCGCAGGGGCTGCGGGGCACGTGCTCAGGGACACGGCAAGCAGCAGCCGGCAGCACGGCCACGCCCGCAGCGCTCTCCCGCACCCGGGAGGCTCCAGGCGCATCAGCAGCAAGGCCTCGGTGAGCCAAGGGGGACTCGGTGGCTCCACAAGCTCCGGCACTTCATTTGCGTGAAAGGAACAACTCGGCCAGTTTACAGTCACAAGTGTGCACGCCACCACACACGACTGCCGGAGGGCTGAGCAGGGACTTCAGCAAGCCGCCTTCACACTGCCAATCAGCCCAGCAATCACGTGATAAAGCCAGCGCCGGGCCAGCACGGGTGTGGCAGGTAAAGCGCTGGCTCCCACGTGGCCCACTGTGGTTCGAGTTCCAAACCAGGGGCCCGAGAAAAACGCCGGGCACAAGAGTGTGCATGCCCAAATCCCGAGAAGAGAATGGAGAAGGGACTGCGGCGTGGCCATGCCCCTGGAGATCTCTCGTTCTCCCTCTCACTGTCTGTCTTCCTCCAGCGAGCACACATGCCCTATGGCAAAAACCTTAAGACAGTACTGACCTTCGAGTGCAGGCGTTACTGAAGTGGCCGCCCCGCTGCGTCAGGACAGCCACCACAGCTGGCCAGGCTGTTTGCCTCTCAGAAGAATCTTAGAATTTCGATTAATTTCCGAAATTAAGAGATGCGTTTCAGGGCTTTGAAAACAAGCCTATGTGCTTCTCGAGAACAATCAGGTCAGTGTGGGGAGCGTGGAAACGAAGAGTCAGACAGTGGTTATGCAGGGTGCCAGGGTCCGGGGCTGTACTCGAACTGTGCTGTGGCGATGCACAGCCGGCGCCCCCAGCCGACAACCCCCAGGCGCACACCCGTCTCCCGCCCACCAGAGGCAGGCCTGGGCACCTCAGAAGGCAGCCTTGTTGTGAAATGAACGACCCAAGGCTGTCTCAGGTTACTCGCGAGCATGACAGCGATCTTCCTTTTCCAGTGAATTTTGTAATGCGGGAGGAACAAAAAGGTAGGAAATGGAAGCAGGAGAGGGGGCTAGAGCAGCTGCCTCTGTGGCTAGATGAAGAACCAATCAGCGCAGAAACGACCCCGCCCAAGGTAACGCAGGCAGACTGCCGGGGGATCCTCACCCACTAAGCCCCACCTGAGAGCCCACGGCCTACACCAGTGGCTGAGCCACGGATGAGCACCGCCGAGATGAGAGCAGTCAGAGGGCGCAGCCAGCCACCTGACACCACCGCGACTGGAAACGATGAGCCCCACAAAACCTAACTGCCGGGGCTTTGGGCCACTCTTCCTCGTCCACTCCAGCCCACTCCTACTTCCGGGGAACGTCCTTGGGTTTTTACTTCATAAACGGCCCTTCCGCTATTGGCGGGCTCTGCCCAGCTCTTTGTCCGAAATACCGAGAGCCTGGATACCACCGCAGAAGCCGTTCCACAGCAATTTCTCACCCACTTCGTAGCTGTGTCCCTCCCCCAGGCACCAGGCATGTCCCCTTCTCAGAGGTCTTGCCTGGCCACACAGGAAGGCCATTTAATGGTGCTCTGGTAAGAGGAGAAAGGGCCGTGTCACCGAAACCAGACGGTGGTAAGGAGGGACAACAGTGTCCGCTTCCGCCTCCGCCTGCCCCCCAAGCCCCTCCCCTCGGAGGTCCAAGCCGGGCCGGCCGTACTGCTTTCGTTCCTCCTCCGTGAGCAGGTCTGGCCTTTCCCAGATCGGGGGTCGGCCACCCTCTGGGGGTGTCTGGAAGCGCCGTGGTACCAGGCCCCTACCGGCTCCGCAGGTCTTTGGCTCTGGCTCTGATGAGTCAGTTCTCCCTCAACGCTGTGTCTCAGGACCGACACTGTAAAGAAGGCGCCCCATACAGTCAGTAAGGAAAGGTTTCTTCTGAAATCCAACATGCAACGACTCATTGGACTCAAACACAACAGGGTAAGAGCACAATTCCCAAGTCTGCTTTTCGCTAGTTTTATTTACGTTAAGCACTTTTCGTTCAGGCTGAGATGGGTGCACGCATGTCTGTCATGCGTGCGTGATCACTCAGAAAGTTCACTTGGTGTAAGGTCACATTTTTTGGTATATAGAAATAATTTTATTTTCTTAATGCAGCAGAGGAGACATACAATCATTATTCCCTAGAGTGTGCAATATATAAATTATTCACATTAAAAAATTAAGAACGAAAACCTCGTATGCAGGAAATATTTAAAAATGTACACCTAATTTTGAATCTGCTTGGATAACACGTATGAATGAACGTGGCGTGATATACATGTGAGCGAAGGACACGCACAGGTCCCTCCGACGCTTCATATGCTCTAGGAATACTGCGCGCACTTTGGTCGTGGGGATCCCGCGTGCTGAGGGTGCGGGGATCTGAAAGATACTCCGGAGTACAATTACACCGATTGCAGGGACGGCCTCCTACTCGCCTTTATAGCGAGGGGGCCTTTTCTCTTTAAAAGCAAGAAGTCCTTCCATTCTGTCTTTCGTTGGAATGGTCTAAGAAAAACAAAACATTTAAAATACGAAAAAAGTTTTAAATGACAATAAAATTGTATCAAGCATTATCTAAGAAAATTAATTAGAAGCACACCCTAAACGTTTGAAATCTACCAGGCATTTAACAATTCTCCTCATCATGGGACCAAATGGGAAATCTTTTTCCATTTTAAATATGCTTAAACAAAGAATGGGACTGGCTCCAAGGTTTACTGGATCCCACACGGCCAATTGCGGCTTCGATCCTGGCTCCAGTGGCATGAAAAGCACACAAGGAACCTATGTGTGTGCTCAACATCTTGACAGGATGGATCCATGGAGGAGAAGGGGCTGCGGCATGCTCACGTCCCACTGGAGGGTGGGTACTTTCTCTCTCTCTTGCTGTCTCTCTCTCTCTGGGGAGCCTGTGTACCTTCTAGCAGCAGTGTGTCAGCACCTGCCTGGTGACCTGCTGGCACCTGCCCTGCAACTACATTAGACCTCCAGCTCAAGTTGGGAGCAAATGAAATTTTAGCATTTTGAGTCTTTCTAGTCACATGAAGTATTTTCTCATTTATTTAAACTTGACTTTGACCAGAGTTTTGTATTTTTTCAAATACAGATTATATGCATATTTTGTTACTTACACCTAAATTTTTCCCTTTCTGAGTGTTAGTATACAAGGCGTCTTCGAAAAGTTCACGGAAAACACGGTACTAACTTGTCATAACCTACCTAGGGTCAGTCAGGTAGTGTAGTGGTTAAAGCAGAAAAAGAACTGCGGTGTGGCCATCCCCCAGGGGAGATTTCTCACTGTCCGTCTCCTTCCCTGGCAAGCACATGTGCCCTATAGCAAAACTAAAATGAACGAATAAACTTATCCAGGTAGGATCTCTCATTTGAGGCATCAAGAAGGACAGACATCAGTTTGAGAAGAACATGAATTTTGCTGAAATTGAAACAAGAACAAACATCACATTTATAGTAAAGCTTAGCTAGAATAGTGAAATTACTGATGTTTTATGAAAAGTTTCTTAAACTTTGGGCGATGGCCCAAAGAAAGCAGCAGTTTACAGACAAGTCACTTGTTTCTGAAGGACAAGATGCCGTTGAAGACGCAGACCAGCACGTCCACGGCACGGACTGCACCTTGTTCTGCCCCGCTTAAGGAGGACCACCAATCAACACCACAAACAGCAGCCGGCACCACTGCCTTGCTGTTCACCTACACAGTTCTGAATGGAAAATTAATGATTGGGACCAGCAGGTGGTGTAGCAGTTACTTTGCTGGACTCCCACATGGCCAACCGTGATTGGAGTCCTGGGACTTGGTGGCTTGCAACTTACGCCAGGCATGTGTGCATGCGTGGCCAAGACAGATCTTGTGAGTGTGGCTATCTCCCAGGGGACACGAGTTCTCACCTTCCCTCTCACTGTATCTGTCTCTCTCGCTCTCTGCTCTGACAAGCACGTGTGCCCTAAAGTAAAAAGAAAAAAAAAATCTAAAAAGAAATTAAAGACCAATAAACCTTGTGCTTCATAAGCACCAAAACAGCTGCACCCTGATTAGCTGCAGACAAGAGCAGAGCTTTCAATGGACATCTTAAACAAGGGGGAGGGGGTCAAGATCCTAAAGCATTTCTTCCAAGAATTACTTCAGATGAGGACACATAGTTTCTTTACCAGGACGCTCCTGAAGGCCAACCTCAATCAAAGCAATGACTACAAGAGCTGGTAGGAGTCAGTCAAGGCAACAGGACAAAGATCATGGCAACAGTTGTTTGGGACGTGCAAGACATTTTACTTACTGGCTTTCTGGAGGACCAAAAATAGTAACGTCTGCTCATTATGAAGTGTTTTAAGAAAGCTGACCCAAGTCTTAGCAGGAGAACAGCTTCACCAGAGCTCATTCTCCACCATGAAATGCTCCTGCCATTCCTCACATCAAGGGCAAGATAGTTTGGATGGGAAACCATGAGTCATCTATCTGCCTGACAGTCCTGATTTGATTCCTTCTGAGTTCTGTTCCCTAATCTTAAAAAAACCTTAAAGGCACCCATTTTTCTTCAGTTAATAACATAAAGAAGACTGCAATGATGTGTTTAAACTCCTAGGGCCTTTTGCTCTTTGGGGATAATCTAAGTGGCTAGTATAATCACTTCCGGAGGCAACTTGAACTTGACGGCATTTATGGTGGGAAGTAATGTCTCTATTTTCTATTTTTAAATTCCATTTTCCGTGAACTTTTTGAAGTCCCCTCACGTATGGTGTGGTTCAAATTCCAATTCTTCTTGCTCGTATATAGGGAAGCAGTTCACTTGGTATCATGTAATCTTGCTCTAATTAGTTATGAGGTTTTTTTGCTGACTGAAATTTTCTACATAGATAATTATATCATATGTGAACCGTTTCATTTTTCCTTCTGAATCTGTATACCTTTTACTTCTTTTTTCTTATCTTAATGCATTAATCAGGGGCTAATTCATTGTTGCTGAAAAAGCCAAGTGAGAGGGACCAACTTTATCTTCTTTCTAATAAATTTCTTATAAATACTTGGCGAAATTCACCATTGAAACTATCTGTGATGCTTTCTGTTTTGGAAGGTTATTAACTTTCAGTTATTACGTTATTGACTGAATTCCTTTAATAAACATAAAACTACTCAGCTCATCCACTCTCCCTGTGTGGGTGTTAGTAGATGATGTCTTTCAAAGAATCGGTCTATTTCATCCCGATATCAAATTTGTGGGCGCAGAGTTATTGATAATTATTCTTTTATTATACCTTAATGTTCAGATGTAATCAGGAATACAGCCACTCTTGCATCTCTGATACTAATAATTTTTATTCTTCTCTCCTTTTCCTGTGGCTAGTCTGGGAAGGCTTATCGGTCTTACAGATCTTTACCAAAAACCAGTTGGGAATTGTATTGTCAATTTTTTCCAATTGTTTTCCTGTTTTCAATTTCATTTCACTGATCTCTCTTTTCAGTGTCTATTATTATTATTTTTTCTTTTTGGAGAGGTTTTTTCACTATAGGGCGCGTGCGCTCGCCAGACAGACAGAGAGAGACATAGAGACAGAAAGCGAGAAATCACCCCCCAGGGGGGATGGTCACGCCGCAATCCCTTCTCCTCCATTATCTCGGGATCTTGGGCACGCACACACACGCACCCGGCGTGAGTTTTAAGCCACCGGGTCCGGGACACGAACCGCGGTCGACTACGTGGGAGTCCAGCGACATAGCCATTACGCTAACTGCTGGTTCCCCAGTGTCTATGATTTTTTTCTTCTGTTTATGTGGCTTTAATCTGGTCTTCTTTTTCTTGTTTCCAAATAAAGTGGACATTTACTGATTTTAGAGCTTTCTTTTCTCATATACGCACCTAATGTGATACATTTCTCTGTGTTACTTTTGATATAACCCACAAGTTTTGATAAGCTATATTTTGGTTTTGAATTAGTTCAAAATACTTTTAGGTCCTCCTGAGACGTCTTTGACACATATGTTACTTAGAAGCGTGCTGTTTAATCCCTCCGTATTTCAGTCCTTTGCACCGATCTTTCTATTACTGATTTCTGGTTTAAAGTCACTGTAGTCTGACAGAATACTTTGCATGATTTCTGTCCTTTCACATTAGATAAGCTGTGGTTTATGGACATATGTGCTTTCCATTTCTTTCCTCACAGTCAGAAAGTCCTCGTTTTTAAGCTGTTTGCAATTTACTTCACTCAGCATGTGCTCATCCATGCCAGGTGGTGGTTTATACAGACCAGGGACGTAACACCACTCTCGACATCACTCCCAACAGGACCCTACTCCGCTTAATGGGAGCTGATGCAGTTCCCAGCCCTCAGGAAAGACAGGCCCAAACTCTCCCTGCTACTTCTGCCCTAAAACAAAGTTTTATCTTTTGGAGGAGGAATGAAAAGGCAAAGAAAAAAACCATTTTGTCCCTCTACAGAATTACCTGATTTGTACATAAAAAAGAGAGCTATAATTTTATTAGTGAACTTTCTGTGAGCAGGAGACAAGACTCGGACTCCAGGAAAAGTGAGTGAGTCTTGAACACAGATGCACAAGGTACACGCTCACCACCACCTCCCGCTGCCTCCCTGCACCGGGCAAGGGCCAGGTCCACACGCACAGAAGACCCCTTAGCCGAGAGACGGCTACGGCAGGGATGGTACCAGCTCAGTTACTCTGGGGTCTTCTAAATTATACAGACAAGAGTCACTAGTCTGTGAAACAGAATGAGCAGTTCACAGTCAAGTAGCAAAGCATCTTATTTTGATCCATCTGCATGATCCCTTTTTTTTTTTCTTTTTTTTTGTGTGTCATAGAGATTTTTGCTATAGGGTGCATGCACTGGCCAGAGAGATAGAAAGTGAAAAATCACCCCCCAGAGGGGATGGTCATGCCACAGTCTTTTCTCCTCCAATCTCCTTTTGGGATTTTGGGCATGCACTGGGTCTGGGACTCAAACTACAGTCAACTACGTGGGAGTCCAATGATGTAACCATTACACCGCCGGCTAGTCCCCCATCTATGGTTCTGAGTCAAGCGTGAAGGTAGAGCTTGCCCAGTGACAGAATTCGTTTGAACACCCAGAGATAAACGTAACTGGTTTGCAATCGCGTTACGTACCTGAGCGTAGCAAGCCTCTTCTATGGCTAACCCTGTCACCAAATCCACCTGAGGACAGAAACAGCGATCATTCCAAGAAATATGGTGTATTCAATATCAATTCAAAATGAATAGCCCTATCCCCAAAAGAATGGAATCCTTCAGCCCAGCACAGCAGAGCAGAAAGATGGCCGGCATGAGAGACTCAGAACCAGGCTTCCTGGGTTCAAATCTTGACTCTACCACTTGGAAGCTGTGTAACCTTACACAAATGACTTAACCTCCTCTGAGCTGCAGACAGGCATGTCTGAACAAGGGGTCAGACTGTCCTCACCAAAGACGGGTACTGCGGGAATTAAGCGAGCCGACCTGGATTAAGCCTTTATAAAGCACATATAAAGGAGCCTGGCCAGAGGAGCGGCTACACGAACTGCGTGCTGCCGGCATTGACACGACCAGGCCAACACGGACACAGTCAGTCAGTCTTCACATTTACCAAATGTCATTTCTTGCTAAAAAATTCAACCTTTTTAAAAAAATTATTATTATTACTATAAAGCCTAGGACAATATAGTCACTCCTGGATCTGCCCTTTTTTTTACTTGGAGAGGATAGGGCGCTATAGGGCGTGTACGCTCTCCAGAAAGACAGAGAGAGACAGAGAGACAGAAAGCGAGAAATCACCCCCCAGGGGGGATGGCCACGCCGCAATCCCTTCTCCTCCATTCTCCTCTCAAGATCTTGGGCACGCACGCACACGTGCTCAGTGTGAGATTAAGCCACCAGGTCCAGGACTTGAACTGCGGTTGACCACATGGGAGTCCAGCAACATAGCCGTTACACCAACTGTTGGTCCCGAAAAAAGTATCTTTAAAAAAAAAAAAAAAACAAAAAACAACTGGAGTTAGCTGGTGACGTGGAGGTTAGGATTGTGGATCCCACATGGCTAACTGTACAGTTCAAGTCCTGGTCTGGGAGCTTGAAAAACATGCTGGGCATGTCTGCCCCAAATCCCACTTCTTCACATTCTCTCTATCTCTCTCTCTCTGTCCAGTGAGTGCATATACCCTGTAGCAATATTTTTTAAAAATTTAAAAATAAGTAAAAACTTCCATAATTCAACCAAAATATACCAGGCGTAATTAAACTCTGAAGTTAGTGGGTGCCTGTTCTGCCTCATCCCTGCCTTCCTGCCCCTGGCCTGGAGCCTCCACTGCTCTCAAGTCGTCATCCCAGGGTAACTGCAGAATGCCCCACAGACGGGCCTTGTTTACCTTTGTCTCCCTGCAGAAAGTTCATGGAGAAGGTATGGTGGAGAGAGCCAGAGTGAGCCTTGAGACAGAAGGTTCTCCCTGGAATGTCTTCTATAATCTAAAACTGATGCTGACAAAATACAGAATTCCCGCTTCTCTTGGCCTCTATGAACTACTGTCTACTAACGAGATGACTACAACAGCAAGCATGTCATAAGCCCCACGGAATCAGAGGAATTTCGGTGAATTTGATCAGCAGTGACATCAGCAAAATAAAATCAGTGATACAATGAAAGGAACCTTAGTAACTCAGTACAATGGCATTCAAACAGCTTAACGTAGCAAGTTAAAAACGATGCAGAAATCTAAATGTTAGTTAAATGAAGCCGCCACTCTCCATTCCAACAGTAATCCGCACAAGGGACTTACCTCCATCCCTTGATTAATTGCTAATTTTGCCACTCTCACTGCAACAGGTCCCTACAAGTCAAATCAAAGACACACACATTTTACTTACTGTGCATGCAAATCACTCTGTACATCCAAGGAGAACTGAGACACCCCCGCTGCTGGATCCATGGCATCGCATGGTGGGGGACACTCAATGGTCCTGAGTTAACACTTAGGTTCCACAGCACCTCTCTGTTATGGGGAGCTCGAGCTCCCCGAATGTCACCCCAAGTGCAGGTCCAGGGCGGGCTTACCAGTCCTCGCCAGCTCTCCCTGAAGCTACGTCATGGCCACCACTGGCTCGGTATCTTTCTCCATTAGCGCCCATGACCAAGCGCATGATGTGGTTAACAGACTGTCCTCCGGCAGTGCTTTCTCTCGGGGTGAGTTGGGTCGCAGGGGAGGAAGTGGACAGCCTCTCTGCAAAAGGGACACTACTTGTGTCTAGTGAGGCCGGACTCTTCCCAGACCACCTTGTAGACAAGCACGGTGGGAATTCAGTGAGCTAATCCTGTTTTAACTTCCCGAAATCTTACTTATGGGGTGGGTGATGATACATATTCAAAGGTATATTTCGAGGTGAACGGCCTTTTGAATTAAAGCATGAAGTTGCTAAATAACAGGCCTATCAAAGAACAACGCTCACGAATGGAGAAACGGAGGTGGGTGTAGAAAACCCCATGTTTTCCTACCCAGGGGTTTCTGTTACCAAATTTTTCCTTCCTAAGTCACATGCTCAGAAATTCTCTCGACAGCCATGATTTCCCAAGACTGCTGTTCAGACACACATGTTCCTTAGGAGTCTCGGAAACGTGCCTTTTCCTGCGGCACGCACCCGTACCACTGTCCCCACTCCATCAGGCCACTCTCCTCTCGATGAGAAAGAATCTTTTCCATGTTCACCGCCGAATGACCTGGAGGAGGAGCTTGTCAAACTTCCAGGTGCCTCCAAAGCCCTGGCCTCACCTCGCTAAAATGCAGCTGTGAGTTCAGAGGGGCTGGGGTCGGGGCGGGCCTGGGATTCGACGTGTAGAACAAGTCCCTCGCAGATGACCAGGCCACTGGCCCACAGACCACACTTAGCAAGGTTTAGGAAAACTATGGGGGTGTCAGGGAATTTAAACTGCTACTGGAGATCATGCTTAATTTAACTTGCTTCCCCTTTAAAACTTGACAGAAATGGAAGCAGCATGTAATGCAGAAACCATCTCTAAATACTAGCCTTACACACACTTTCTAATTATTTCGGAGGATGCTCATTTGGTAACAAAGCAGTGGATGGAAAAACAGAGCTTATTCCACTCAAACATCGTCTGCAACTGCACACAGGTTGGCAGCCACTCTCCTCCTGCAGTTCCTCGACTGGCCTTTTACGTGCTTGGCCCTGGAGAAAAACTAATTTCAACAATCCCGCTCTCGGTGGAGTGTCTTTCAGAGGGTCTATGAGGAAGGCAGGCAGAGCAGGGCGATAACCATGGGCGGAGCCAGCATGGGGTGCAGCTTTGGACCAGATCAGCAGTGGGTGGGAGGGGACAGAGAGGGACACGTGGGCGGCAGTGGCATTCCCTGCACTGAGGGGTACAGGAGAAAGGGCCAGACGATGCTAAGGGCTAAGGAGCCACCAGTGGGGTCAGGGCTGCACACGCCCACACAGCAGCAGGGCCATGCAGTCAGAACTGGAGTTCCGGCCCAGTGTTCCTCACTGTTCCAGTTCGCAGGTGCTTTGCGCTACCTTATGTGGGGACGATTACGGCCCTGCCCAACAGAACTAATGCCTTAACTAATTAACGAAGAAGGATCACGGGATACCAAGAGCAAGCCCTGTGGTTTCAGAACCAATGAGACAAGGTGGCCCTGTCTGCAGCTTCTGGCCAAGTGTCTCCGGCAGGGCAGGGCTCACGCTGCAGGCAATGACACCTTCTGGAACTGGCGCACGAGTCTGAGCAAGTGAGGAGTGTGCATGCTTTTAGAGCGATTTCCTGAGATTTCCAAAGGGACCTGTGAGCCCCACAGAGCTGTGAATCATCTTTGAGCTAAGTGACACTTAGGGAGGAAGCTACTTTGTCTCCAGAGGCACTGGGGGGTTAGAACTTCAAACTTCATTTGGGATAAAAAAACAAATCCCTGACTGCTTGCGCAGGAAACGAAGACTTGATAGGGCAGAGTCCTTACAGCTGTGACTTCAGAGCAAAGGAGTACTGGAATGAGCCTGCACGAGGGGAGAAGAGTCCCTCACAAGAGGGCCGCCAGTGCTGCTGCAGGGAGACTCCCGAGCTCACTCACGCCCGACAGACGCACGGCGCCCTGACTCTGACGGTGTGCGTACGGTGTGGGGGCAGCAGAGCTAGGGGCAGGACAGCGCTCACACCCCACACACAGAGGTAACTGCAGGGGACGCTCACTACGCTCAGGGGTCAGAACTACACGGACACCCCCTGTACACACTCACTATGCTCTGGGATCAGAACTACCCTGACACCCCCTGTACGCACACACACACACACACACACACATGCTGAGGTAACTGCAGGGGATGCTCACTATGCTCAGGGGTCAGAACTACAGGGACACCCCCTGTACACACACACACACACACACACACGCTGTGGTAACTGCGGGGGACGCTCACTATACTCAGGGGTCAGAACTACCCTGTCACCCCCTGTACACACACACACGCACACACGTCTTCTCTTCCTGCTGCTTATCACACGTGAGGCCACTGCTCTAAGTGCCACGTGGCGTAGGCGTAGTAGACCACAGCCCCCTACGTATCAGCAAACGGCATGTGTAGTGCACTGGGCTTGGGGTGGTCCAGCTCAAGCACACCTGCCACTCGTCCTCTCCCAGGCTATGGCTTTGGTTAGGGCGCCCAGTCACTGAAGGAATTAGAAGAGTTTTCCAGGGAGCTGTGGCGAACACCTTCCGTGTGAAGGGCTGGTGGCAGTAGGGGCCTCATCTTATCTTCAGTCTGCCCGTGACCCAGCAGTGTTAACGCTAAGCTCGTGCATTTCTAGCTGTAGTCCCACCTCGCATCACTTTACGTAGGAGACGCGACGAGGACACCTCGGCATGCGCGGTGGCTGCTGTCTCAGTGGACGTGTTAGAGTCACCTAAAATGAGGGACGGCAACTCTGGCTAGAAATACCTGTGGCAAGAACTCCCGGGCCAGCTCCAGAGCCTTCCTGTAGGCGGCGTCCCCCTCCTGGTTCTGCTCCAGGACGTGGCTGACCAAGCCCACCGCTTTGGCTTCCTGGCCATCGAGCACGCGTGCCGAGAAGATGAGCTCCTTAGCCAGGGACATGCCGATGGCACGTGGCAGCCGCTGCGTGCCCCCTGGAGTGAGGGAAGAGAGAAGCAGGCACGGTTGGACGCTGCTCGGCTGTACCCGTCAGCACTTCATTTCTTCCGTTATAAAAAGAAACTAGGGCCAGCAGTTTATACCAAAGTGAGTAACCGGAAAACAACTTCAAAAAAGTCTTATTTCTTCATTCAGCACAAAATGAATAGCACCAAAAAGCACATGAGGGTCTCGCGTGATCATTAGCGACTTTGGTCCGGAACGTCCCCTGAAAAGGTGGGGTGCGTTCCAGCCCACGGAGTAGCCTGAGGAGAACAGCGGTGGTGAGCACGGCGCCACCACTGCGAGCCCGCTGCCCCGACACAACGGCTCCACCGCGCTGGGTGCTTCCCATCCAGTGTAGACTAAGGCTATCGGACGGAGGGGTTCAGCTCATACGCGCAAAGGATCCGGCACAGCGAGGGAACCGAGAGCTAATGTACATCTAGTAAACAGCTACTCACTCTCGGGGCAAGCCCTGACCATCCTCATCGGTTCCTTCTGAAGGTGCTCTTCCCCACACAGATGCCGTGTGTTTGCTTGTGACTGTCTCTGACTGCTGTGGGGACTCTGGCAGTTAACGCTTCAACTCCCAGGTGCGTGGGCACACCAGCATGATGGAGGGTGAACTCGGATCAGACACGCTCTGTACAAAGCATGCCTGTCCTG